GTGTGTCAAGCATAAGCCTGGGAGTAAAGGGGAAATAAGTAAGTGGCAGAATTAAATTATAATATGTAAGAATTAAGTACTGATCCAGAGCGCGGCTTCTGTAGCCGGCGGATCTGCACGTGCCGTCCAAATCAGCATCGGGATCTTGTCTTATTGTTTTCCCAAAAACATGATAATTCCAGCATTTTGAGCTTTCAGAGATGCAGGTGGCCCTGCAGCCGGCGGCGATCACGGCGGTCCCTTTGAAGGCTGCCCCCTGTGGTGGTGACTGTCATCTGCCCCCCCCCCCAGCCCAGCTGCAGCTCTGCCCAATCCCCAGCCACCCCCACACCGTATATTTTACTCTACATGCGCAGCGGCACATATCAAGATGGCCCCACAATAATTTTTTCCACCCATTCACTTTTCCCCAGAAAAATAATTTAATCAGATGCTGCCTAAATAATTGCTCAGAAATTCTTAAAATAGCCAACAGAGAAAGCTCATTTCTAAAACCCATTCATTCATTTCGATAGTAATCCATCCCTCCATTCATTTTCCATAACCCCAGATGTCATGGAGAGCTTTGGTGAACCTCCGATAGCACAGGACACGGGGAAGGGAACAACTAAGAGGGAATGATAGTCTGTCACAGGGAACACGCTCACACGCTATGGGCCAATCAGTAACACCCGCATCCAGTTACAGCAAAGCTATTTTCAAATATAAATGTATGCGATACAGAAAGGGGAAAATTATTAAGATGGTACATGGAACATCAATGGAGATTATGATATTACAATCAGATATTACATTTTGATTTCTGCATATATGATACATTTATAACTGTATTAAAATTCAAAAACGCAGACCTTTATAGAAAGAGCTGCGTGTAGCTCTGTGTCTGTGCCTAACCGGCTGCAGGTTCGAATGTTCTGGCTGGCAGAGTAATCACATACCCGCCGGGGTCTTGGAAGGCCCATAACCCCAGTGGCTTCCGGAATGCAGCCCGACCCTGCAGCCCGACCCTGCTCTCTGACCCCAGGCTTTCCTCACCTGTGTGTGACTTTGGACAAAAGCGGCAACTGCATAAATAATCAGAGCAGAGAAGAAGGTGCTTCATCCAGCCGTGTGATAACCCGCAAAGTGCTTTGCATTACATACTGTAAATAAAATGTTGTCTTGGACTAATAACCAGGTTACAGTGACTGTACCAATCAGATGTTGACAGCATGGAAAATTTTGACTGACATTGTGATCAAACTGTTATTTTTACCATAGACGTGGCATTTAAAAATGTAGCTTACATAGATTTTTTTTACCACGGAAACTTTTGTTGACACTTCCTGGCACCAGTAACTGGTTTACACTGCTTAAGTTTTTACTCCTTGTATATAAGCAGTTAGCTTAGCGAGTTAGCGCAGCACGGAAATATTCACAATCCACTTTAAATCTCGGCCGAGGTTTCAAAATTAAAACTACAAGCATTTCAAGGAGACTCGCTGATCTATCAGGTGAAGGTTATTCACTTTTAAAAGGGTAAATCCATGAAATCAATATTTACATATAGCATGAATAGCTGTGGTAACTGGTTATGTAAGGGTTAATTTACGCCAAGCTATGCATTATACATTTTTAATTGCACGACTGCAGAGGCAAAGAACCACCTGCTGAGCAAAGGAATGCATTTAAAAATGCACAATGCACAATGCGTTTGCAGTGCATTGTCCCACTGATACCACGCTTACCATGCGCTTGACTTACATTTTTGTATCTAAAGACATTATTTGCACATTTACGAGCCAAAAACACATTTATTAGAAGAACTGCAATAGTGACCAAGATTGTGGAAACGCTTCCAATTTTTAGGGATCGCAGAACTTTATTCTAGTTACTCCAGTTACTTATTAGATCATTCAATGTATGATATTTGTAAGCATTCTTTGTTTATAAACATTACCGCCAATATTCGTGTAATAATTTTTAAAATGTAATGCCAAAAATGCAAGGTGTCTCCACAATTACGACAACTAGTGTCGTTCCTCTGGCCAGTGGTTGGTGGGCAGCTCAGTGGCTTAGGCTTCTGCGTATGTGACTGGAGTCACTGGTTTGAATCCAGTACTCAGCAGAATTGCCTCGTGCCTTTGAGATGCTCTGAGGACACTGAGCAAAGATGGAAGCATTCTGTACTTGTGCAAATATGAAACAAGTCCACATTTCATTAAAAAATTAGCTTAGAAATGACCCAAGCCACCATCGTTAATTTGAACATGGTTGATCGTTATGACCATAAGCCAGTCGTTAGTTCAATATTACCTGTTGATTTGCCCAAAGGCTAGTAGCACATTGATTTTCTGCTGTCATTTGCCTGACTGGCACTACATGTGTGGTTAGAGAAAATTAATCAACACATTTCTGATCAATCAGATGTGACAACTCAATAGTTGTGGTATAATTACATACAGCATGAATATATTTACTGTTAAATTCCCCAATGATTTGAATGGCAGGTGACTGTAATATTAAATGAAGTCCAGTCGTATCTGATGTGCAGAGCACATTATCAGACTGTATTGTAGACACTCCTGATGCATATTTTGTTTTCCCGTTTCTATTATACTGAAGCAAAATCACTGGCGTTTGTGTTTGTTCTGCTCCACTTTAAACCCATATCCACTGAACAAACTGCTTGTTCCATCCTCCCAAGCAGCTTGGTGTTTGCAGAACCTGACAAAGTCTTTAGGGTTCCTCCGTGGGTGAGGCAGGGAGGGGAACCAGACTCAGAACTTGTTTGGGGTTTGTCATCACCTCACAATGCCCTGCTTTCTCATTTTTCTGAGCTTTTCAAATCCGATAAACTTCACACTTCTAATATCCTCACGACCACATTTACATCACGTGTCAGCATGTAATGATACTGTAACAGCAGGGAAACACCAATGGAAATCTTTAGAAGATCTGGTAAAATTCAGAACTTGAAGAACTGAAAATAAAACCAGCATGACTCAACCCTATATTTGAACGTCGACATTTATAGCTATTCGCACTTAAACAAGGAATGAAACACATTAAAAGGCCCTGTGATGTTATTAACGTACATTGATTATTTATCAGTTTAATCTCTTCCATGCAGCGCACTGGGCCTGTGCCCCCGGCCTTGGGTGGGGGGGGGGCTGCTGAGCTCCAATCAGCAGCCAAGCAGAGATACTACAGCCAAGATCAGAGGGAGAATAGAAATGCTTCCTTGTCCTTCTCATGATTCCATGTATCAGCAGAGCATTTAAAATAGTTCATTAAGTGTTACATTAAAATATAGCACAAGATATGAAACTGAAGTCTTGACACTGAGTTTTGAATGATTGTGGGCAAAATGGTGACCTGAGACCTGCAGTGTTGTCAGGCTCCATTCCAGTTCAGTGAAAGGGCAGAAAATGATTTATGATTTATGGAGAAATTCCAGTTTGCCCCCACAGTCCAGGGACATTCTGTTCTGGACAATTGGTCCCTGTAGCTTGTCCTTAGTCAGGGATTGTCTGTGTGTACTGGGCATGGGAGAGATCACTGATTTTCTTTACAATCCAATACTAAGTAATACCAAGATTGATAAATGGTGCCGGCTCAACCTGAAGGATAAATTTTGCTGACCGGGAGTGGGGAGATATACCAGGGGATCAATCGTTCTCACGAGTCTCACGAGTGTCTGGGCTGCTGAAATCCCCCCCCACTCCCTGTCCTAATGTACCCCCCTGCCCGGTACAACTTCATGTCCTGCTCCCTACAATAATATAAACCAGGGACATGCAATCTAATCCTCAAAGGGCCGGTGTGTGTGCAGGTTTTTGGGGTAACCTTTAGGCCAGCTGTTCAAACCCAGGTGTGAGGACTCCTCAGCCAATCAGTCTTCTAATCGGTAATCTAATTAGGGAGTTGCAGCAAAAACCCGCACACACAACAGTCCTTTCTTGATAAGATTGTCCACCCCTGTTCTAAATGATTAAATTTGCAGGTAAAAAAAAATCAATAATGTAAGAATCAATTCAAAAAAAATTTACAATTTGAAAGAATCGATACTTCAGTATGACTGTGCATTTCCTTGGTGTGCTCCATGTCATGGACTGGCATCAGAAGAACAATGAAGTAACTTGTCAGGTCACTTCAGCTTGTGAAGCATGTGCTGGCACAACACATAGCCACGCCCACCACACAAAGGAACATCGCGGCTGGTGACCCTCCAGTCTCACATGCAGTCCAGCCTCAACTTGCATTTGTACACGTCTTTAAATATTTACACTTGTCTACAACTGGTGCATGATCATCCATAAACACAAATGCTGTCCTTATGTGGGATAAAGAAATATTATATTGGGTTGAATCAGATAGACAAGGTAGCAATGACAATCTCGCGATCTCACACGTGACATTATTACAAAAGAAAAATTAACCTGAAAGGGGTATTTATTCATGTACACATCAGACAACAAATGCACCAATTTAACAATAAATAAAGGACATATATGCATTTAAGGGCATTTGCTATGACATCAAAGGGAAATTTGTGAAAACACGTAACGCTGAACCCACTGCATGATGTTCATCATTCATTATATGGGTGGATCTAGCCTGTGCAAATGAATTTAACTTTAATTTTTAAAAAGCTGTTAGGGAATATCCTTGTAATATAGTCTTACAGTCATGCTAATATATTATGTACAATCTACCTCATTTGTTTGTAACTTTTGATGCAAACATTTGCTAAACATATAAATATCGCAGATATTCGGCTTTATTGGTCTGTATTGCAGATACTCTCAGTCGCATAGAGTTCTGTGCAATCCTGTCAGCATCATCATTAATAATGGAAGTTCAGGAGATTCCTCAAGTTCGGCCAAAGAAGCAGCACTATGGGGGTCTGTAAAAACCCCGGGTTTCTCCACCTCTTTTTTGAGGTCTCAAAAAAAGTGCCAGTTTCCCATTTTGCCCCCAGTCCGCTACCCTCCTAAGAGCATCCAGTGCATCCCCACCAATGCGGCTCCTCACCGCGCATTAACATTGCAGCAGGTATCAAGGAGATGCAACTACCCCAGGAGGGGGTAAAAGTATCCATTTATATGCTGCGCCTACCTCACTGTACAAGTAGGAATACTCTTCAAGAATAGTTTGGAAAAAGAGCATAGTTTCTAATTATAAAAGTCAGGAAATCCATACTAAAAATGCACCTATTTAACAAAATAAATAAAGGACATATATGCATTTAAGGGCATTTACTATGACGTCAAAGGGAAATTTGTGAAAACACGTAACTGAATAACATAAAATCACATTCTGTAGTGTTATTCAAATTTTCTTGGAAACTATTGAATCTATTAAAATTTCACCTCCTACACCCCTCTTAATAATAATAATAATAATAATAATAATAATATCTGAATTTGACAAATAAATTAAAATTAGTAGTCACAGACACTCAAATTTGCCAGAAATTACACTCATGATTAACTCATTAATTGTCACTCTTGATTGTTGCTACAACGCCTGAGCTGTGAAAGGTCCACCAGTTTCTGGCAGAATTTGTCAATGCTAAGGAATCCAGGCTTTGCGGTTTGGGGTTTGGCTCCCGCATTTCCAAGAGGTCTTTAAACAAGTCATTCAATGTCCCCCTCCTGGCAAACTGCAGTGTGTATGTATCGCCTCCTGTCTGCCATCCTGCCAAAAACCCTGCCTTTCTGCAGTTCCGTGGCACTTGGCTAAGCAGTGATGTTCACTGGCCTGACTTGCGTGGCGTTTTCACTGCTCTTCGCTTGGCCTGGTAATAATCTGGTGGAGAAGCAAGGGGACAGATGCAATTAACATTGATTATGCTTCACTAGGTCCTGTATATTGCTACTTCCAGTAGCAAACCGTTAAAAATAACATCTATCTTTCAGCTAGTCTATGTCATGTATGTCATGTCTAAGTCATGTCTAAGTCCACTTATTAAGCTGCATAATCACAGGAACAAACACCAAAACGTTACACTATTCTTTGCAAATTATTCCACAGAAAAAGTATAATGAAACATTATAATATTGCAAGATTATAATGGATGGCAGTTGTGTGCATTAATTTTATTGCATTTAAGAATATAACAGATAAAAGCAGAGCTTTTTCTCACCCTACACACCTGTGATATTGGTCTGCTTCCTCTTCACCGCATACTTCTGCTTTGTCTCCGGCATCCTCTCTACATTCTGGGCTGCAGTACGGGAGGTGCTCTCAAAGTCATCCTCAGCTTCCTCTTCCAGATTCTCCATCACCGCGCCAAGCTTCCGTGCCATGCCTTGACGGACCACAGAGGGGCGGTAGAGAGCCGGGACCTGATCCTCGGGCAGCGCCACCCACTGGAAGTCGTGGTTTTCAAGTGGCACATCCCCCACAAAGTCGAAGCCCCAGCGGCATGTCTTGTCCTTCAGGTCGTCCTGCAGGAGATCCTCGTGATCTTTCTTCATCTGCTCGTGATCGACCTGGCCAAAGAGGTTCCGGCGGACTGGGCCAGTGCGCAGTGCTTCCAGGACTGGTTTGTTGATGGGCATGATCCTGCACTGTGGGTGACATTACACACAGCAACAGGTGAGACTCACCACCGGCCCGCCCGCTTTGCTAACTCAGGCTAGTGACTCAACCTCCATCCCCTCTAACGAAGTACAGGCACAACACCAACCGCTTCATTCACATGTCCGGACTTGTTTGCAAAGCATCACTGTAACCAAACACTTACCAATTATGTCAAAACAAACTTTTAAAACAAAATCAGTGAAAGGAACGGCTTTCTCAAATCAACTAACCCGCGATAGCCACATCTAAACTGAAATTAACTTGCTTTTGGCACCAGTTGAGTAATGGTCATATAAATGTCAGAAAATCTATAAAACAAGATTGGTCACGAACTGAATATGTGGCAACAAAATTGAATAAGTTACAGTTTAAACTTGGTCCTCGATTAATTTACTACGTGAAGTGCCAGCCTGCAACATTTTCCTAAGTTAAGTCGATGTTGATCCGGAAACGCTACTTTGTGTCTTTAAATTTAAATTAATTTGAGCTGCATAATGTCATGCCATCAAATCGAGGCAAACCCCGCATTAGTCTTATTTAATGCTATAACAACCGTTTTTATGCACAGTCCTATTAATTATTTCAGTAAAATTAAAGAACGGATAACGAGGCGTTATTCTAAATAATTAAATAAAAACCCTTCTTGAGAAAACAAACGCAGCATATATTTAAATAATTAGTGGATATTTTATCATATGTGGATCGCCGAATTTAAAGCTTACCATGGTAACAGCCGAGCCCTGGTTTCGCCAGAATGCTGCCCTCCGAGGTGACAGCAGCAGAACGGCGCGGCTATTTAAGCGAGAAGCCCCGGTTACTTATCGCCTTTCCTGGGCTGGTCCCGCACGGCCGTCCAGTCACGGCTAAGCGCGATCGGAGGGCATGTCTGGGCTAATCCTGCAGGGCGGCCTGACATGCACAGGCAAATCCGCCTAAAAATACAGCGTCACCGACTCGGAAAAAAGTCACGTCAATAGGCCCCGCAGGGGCAAAATAGCGACTTTTCCGCCCCCCTTAGCGACTCCCCAAGCCCCGCAAAAAGAATCCAGCGACAAAAAGCACCCCTTGGGTCTCTGTCAGGAGTTTATATATAAGGCTAACAGCTGATGGCTGCGCGACTCGATAGAGAACAGCGTGTCTGAATCACAGATGGTTGCATGGTCTTGCCCCTCTCCATCCAAATGAAATAGTTATCAGACATGTCCCTGCTAGATCTCCCATCATCAAACAATCTGAGCCGAAATCTGGCTGAGTGAGGGGTAACTTTTTAGTTAATATAACCCCAAGCTCTATGTAAAGTCTTGGCAGACATTAATAACACGTACCTTTAATTCCGGTGTTGTTTTTCTTACACTATTTACTTTACTGTGTCTTTCATTTCCCTCCAATTTGAAATACATTTTGATAGCGAAAACTTTTCAGCATTCGATTGGTAACACTGGCCGTCAGTATACATGTGCACAGGTCAGTACCTGGGTATACAGTATATAGGTATCTATCCAGTGACAAGTACACGGTTTTCAGAGAAATCAACCACGCACACACACACACACACATACACACACACAGACACACACACACAGACTAACATACACAGACACAGACACACACAAACACACAGACACACATTCACTGACACACAGAGACACAGACACACACGATTTCGACACAAACCACGCCCTGCGGATTTCACGAACTCCCTAAATCTCAAAATGATCACCTGAGGAAAATCCAAGCTTAAAGTATTCAATATTTATGAATGTTTGTTAGGGTTGTCAATTTTAGAAAAATAACTAGTTAGGCCTACTCGTGATTTTCTGTCGGTCTAATTAATCACGATTACTCTCACGTTCAAGTTTGTTTCAGGTTGTACGATGCACACGCACGCATTTCAAGGTTTATTTGATAACTTAAACATGAATTTCCTTTTACATAGAATCAATGTACTTCAATTAAGGGTTAGATGTCTTCCAGTATGCGATTTAGTTTATTAACCACAAAGACGTGTTCTGCTGTTATGTTTAAATAAGTCTTAATGTACTACATGGTAAAAAAAAACGTGAGTCAGACTGATATCACTGGATCTGGGGGTAAGAGAAGCAGCCAAATGAAATAGATCCTGAAACTTCATCTCCCTACGAGATGCTGCAAAAGCGATAATGAAAGACTAAGGAACTGAAGGATCGTTTTCATTATAACTTACAGATCTATCAATTACAGCGAAAAACGTCGTTATTTGGAAATATTAAAAGGAAGCGAAACTTCCAGATAAGATACGACAAACTGACATCAGGAAACTGGGCGTCAGCAATGACAAGACGATTCAACAGGCACGCGGGAAATATAACAGGCGCCGTGACAGTGAGACGCTGGTGGTTTTCCCCTGCTGTTTAAAATCCAAAGTTATGTTTTCGTGTATTGAATGCTGGGGAGGCTATACGGTTACTTTATAATAGGATGACATATGCTGGAATACGTGCACACACAGACAAATAGCGACAAATACCTGAAAACCTGTCGTTACATTCACTGTATATAATATAAAATTACAGACTTTGTCTTACTGTAGTAGGCCTATATTCATAACACGCTTGGTCAAATAATCATCGAAATTGTTAGGAATTTGTATATTAGGAAATCACAGTCTAGTATTGCTGTCAAGCTGAAAACTTTTCCCAATATTTTAATGAATGATACGCCGACGTTGTTATAACATTTGATACTTTGTTATAAATTAGTAAAGCGGCGCTTTTATTTGTCTGAAATGACTTCGTTTTTCATTGAAGATTTAAACGTTCATATTTCACTTTAGTCATGAAGGAAATGGATTAGGACTCACGGCAGTAGTTTCGATGTTTGTCCGAAGTTCTTATAAAAATGCCTGAGCGATAAAAGGTGGGAATTAAGTAAGACTTCGGTAAATCCGAAAACCAGTTTCAAAATACAAATCTTGTGACGTTCTTTTAGCAGCTACTATGAAATGACTTCATCCAGTTTCTTGCCAGGAGTATAAATAACTTGGGTGGGCGTGATTATATAGAAGGTGGGGTCGGCTCTGCACGTGATACTGGGGCGATCAATTTACTTAAACCGCTGCGTTGTAGTAAAACTGTTTTATTTTAATATTTAAAGTGGAAACACAGACTCATACGCTGACAGAAAGCGGGCCAATGCTGGCGCGTCTAAAGACTTGCGTCTCAAATCACCCGGTGAGAAAATATTTGCTCTGATCAGTTCTGAAGGTTTATAATCGTCTGCCAAATACTTTGTATTTTGTACACATTTCCAATTGAAATGAGAATCAGTACACTTTTACATAAAATGAATATATTTCAGTTGTTAAAACATTGGAAAACAGTTCTATCTGAGGTTTATTTTTAATAATATATTTGAATAATGAATATCAATGAATGCAAGTTCAAAGTGCCTAAAGGCTATTATTAGCTAGTACTTGGGCCAACAAATGTATCTCCTGTTTGATTCTGATGTATCATTTAAAATTTGGAAGCAGCAGAAAATGTATTAAAATGTGAAAAGTGAAAGTTCTGTAACCAACTACTTTATTAATGCACATTTACCTAATTCACTTTATTAATTTAATTATTAAAGTAATTCAACTCATTCACTGTATAAACCAATCACTGGAATAAAAATGTCCTTTATACAGTAACTTTACACAGAAAAGAACCTGAAAGCCATGACAGGAAACACGAGGGAGCCGCTTTGTACAGGATATCAATTCATCTCAGATTGTATACCATCAGAATTAAAATACCAGACTTGAACTCCATCCATCCATCCATCCATCCATCCATAGGCGCAACAAGAACCGCAATTTTAATTGCAACAGTTGCAACATTTTTATTTTGAAACATCATTGTGATTTTGTAACTTCTGACATAAAAGAGACAAACGTTTGTATAGAAAATATTGTATGTTATTTTTGGACAATTCTTCTCCTGCTCTGTTACTAGGACTGCCTCAATCTGGCTAGATACAGTTCAGAATACAAGATAATATTCAGTTTATTATGATATTAACTGAAGTACTTATTTGGGATCTCAAACTAGTTTAGCTAACCATCCTACAACAATAGCCAAATAAAATAACCTCATACATAGGACATAATGTACAATCAATATTGAACTCTTTAACATGTTTTGGGGTAGGCCCAAGAAATATTTTTGTCAACTACATCACTTAGGCATGTCCCTATTCAGGATACTTCTTTAATAACAATAACTGATTTAATTAATTTTATAAAGCATACATCCATAATGCATTTGACATTCATCACAACCCTGATCCTAGAAGTTGATCAGACAGATACGTATTACGGTAACACAGCGGCAAAGCGGGAATCCCCGTCTTCCGGGCAGCAACACGGACACGCTGATTGTTACGTAACGCCATTGGCGGAAAAGCTTGTTCGAAGGCCGGGGCTTTTGTCTCGTTTTTTTTTTTGTCACGTTGTTTCAGAAGATGCCGAGTCACGCCAGCCGGTGCGGACAGCGCGAGAAACCGCGTAACGGTTGGCGCATGCGCACGCCCAGCGGAGTATGTTTTAAGAGTGTGGGCTGCTTGTGTGAATACTAAAGGGAAATGGAATTAGACATCTGTATTGAATGAGCCCCAGTTGTATAATTTAGGTACGGGCAAGTCTTGCACAAAATGTAGATTATAGGCGCCTGCTTGCATATTGAAGTCCCACATTTTTTTTCCAGGATTGCTTTTTGAACAAAATTTCATCTGTGGTGTGTGAGAACTTGTATCTCTCCGTGAATATTTTGTCTGACGAATAAAGCCGATCTGGCATACCCATAGTGAAGTAAAACACAAGCGTGTTACTTACTGGCATGATAAACATTTTAATTAGACAGCATGTACGAAAAGTCCATTGGCGGCCAATTATTGGTTAACAGTACTAGAGGTGATACATTTTCCAAAGTAGCGGGTTGATGAAACATATTATAGATTTTAGTTGGTTAATGACCATTCTTTAAAGCAAGATACAACTCCTGTTTCCTAATTAAACGCACAGAGATAACTCCTATTCATTCCGAAAGCTATGAATACAGGAAATATGAAGGAATTATTACCGTTATAAGTCTATATTGTTATGCTATTATATGTTTTTCTAAATGGTCATAATATGTAAGTAGCACATAGGCCTATCGAAGAAATGTTAAATACAATTTTGAGGGAATTTAGCGACCTCTGGCGAAATTTTATGTAACTACAAATTAAATGGTAAAACTAGGTGATGTTTGGAATAGCGATTTACTCCCCAGACGGCCTCACGCCCCAGCCCCCCCGCCGAAACACTACAATCTCTAGCCCTGCCCTCTTTACATATAATGACAGATGCACCATACATTTCAGAAAGCAGAGTCAGATATTTAATTGAAGGTCTTGTTCAAGGGCCGAACAGCGGCAGTATTCTACAGACCCTGGGATTTAAACTGGCAACCTTTTGATCAGACACGACACATACAAACCCACTGAGCGACAGACCACTCTCCAAAAAATCTTTATTAATTAAAAGCCCTTTTTTTTTTACTCGTCTCAGTGTAATTAGGTCTGCATCTGACTGTCCTTTCATGTGTTACACCTGTGGAATTCTGATGCAAGTTGTTGTAAATAAAACCATATATATAGAAAAACGTTTTTGTGAAATTGTAAAAAAATAAATTAAATCCAGCTATTAGTTAACATTAAATCACAATAAATGTTATCTTCTGTTTTTCTTCCCTTTTCCATCACTAGGTGAAGCTGTTTAGTTTCCTTTCTTTGCTGCCATCTAACTCTGCTGTTAGAATTTCCAAGTTTTCAAAATGAAGCCAGGCATAGCGCTTCATCCATGTTTTTAAGTAATAAAAACAGCCCAACACCCCGACATCACACTAACGCGATCAAGTGTCTGAAGCTACCCTTGTGTGATATGACTTTGTAGCACTACCTTGGTGCAATTTCTCTCAAAATCATATCAGTTCCAGATCTTTCCCCACACTGTGTCTGCGAAGTTTGAAAGAAGATCCATGAAATACTTCCGAGTTCGTTACCAACCTGTGTGTATTTGTGGTGGATGTGAGTACCTGCTTAGGCATGCAGGGGGCACATAGGCTAAATCAGTGTTGCGCTGCAAGGGGGGGAACGACCAGCGCCTAGATACGATCTGAGAGAGAAGCACCTGGCTGAGAAGCAGAAGAATAAAATAGGGGCCCGAAGATCCATCTCTCCAT